TTCCCTTTCTCTCCTCCCTGCTCCTAGTCCCCAGCGATATCGATGGCAACGTATTTTTATCTTTGGTCAAGGAGAAAAGAAGGGGGGAAAGGTGGTCGGTGGCGTCTCTCTGGGGTCAGATTAGGTCGCGGACACCCGGGGGGCCGATCTCCGCCCAATCTCTCATCTCGCACACTCACTCACTTCGGGATCGCAGCAGATGGGCCTCGTGAGCCCCTCAGAAGAATTCATTTGAAATCGCTTCTCTCAACCCTCTACTTTCTCTATTTTTGTTTTTCATTTTATTTCCTTCCACTCCTATCCCTTTAAAGCCCACCTAAAAAAACAATTGCCATCAACTGATCTCGTCACCTATAAACCCGACAATCCCAAAAGATTATCATTAAAAACTAAGAATATCAAATTATGACAAGATTACATTATTAGAAAGCGCATGTCAGAATGTTTCGAAAACAATAAAAAAGATGACGTATTAAAAGTTTCCATATAATACAAAGTATAAAGTGCAGGAAATTGTATTCGTTAATTGTTATAAAGGAAGATAAATCAATTATTCTTATATATTAAACGGCGTGTGTTTAGATTTTTCTGAAACTAAGAATAGTATATTAATATATGTATAGAACGACTATGTGATGAATGAGATTGGTGGAGGATGAGAAGGAGGGTTGTCAATAGATGGGGTTTTGCTAAACTATTTGGGAATTGCGTCGTGGGTAGAACGGCAGACGGTGGAAATTATGAAAGGGTGGGTTGATTCTCCGATCGTAATGAAATCGCCGAAGAGAGTGGAGAAAGAAGCGTAGGGTCGCGCAGGAAGTGGAAACGGCAGAGGAAAGGGCATCAGATTGTGAATAATCAGCTGCGATTTCGAAGCCATTAAATGCCTTTCCCGCATTTCCCGACGACGACTTTAACGCAAAGTTTGTACACAAAAAGCGATTGAAGCCTTCCACCCTCTTCGACCTACAAGACCCCTCTTCCATTCTCATCGGCAATGAGATCAAATCAAAGGGAGCAGCAAAACGGTTCATTTGGTTTCCACTCTCGCTTTTTTTTTTAGGCCCTTCCAGGCCCACTCGACTAAATAAATAATTTCCAACCAGAGTAGGGGGGAAGTGTTGAGATGGAGAGGGGAATGAGCAAAAAAAACCTTTCTTCTACCACGACTTTGTTGTCCTACTCTTTGAAGTCGTCGATTGCAATTAGTTACTGGGCTTCTCTTTTTATACTTTCCACATTTTTCTTATATTTTTTTCATTTTCATTTCAATCCTGCTTTTAATTCTAGTGCCGCCGCCGCCACTAAGAATCGGGCGCTTCCTATTATTTGCATGCAAATCTGCAAAGAGAAATGCGGTTTTAATGCGAAAAATAGAAACTTTGAATGTCTGGACAAGTCATGAGTATGCATAAACGTCAAGGATCAACGCCCTCCATGTAAACCATCACAACAACTATTTACATATGTTTATATCACATATTTAGTTTTCAGCACTGTAACCTTATATGAATTTGCTCATCTATCGATTAAACACGATCGAAACAGCTTTGTAGGTCGAGTGTTTCCGCGCGAAATTTTCCAGCTGAAAAAAAAGTGCTGGTAATTATAATTTTATTACCTTCTTTCTTCTTCGCCACTTCTAATTTTCCAAAGTAATTATTTGCGAAGATTGTAATCAAACTGATCTTGCAAAAAAAAAGTGGTGGAGCCTTAATTACGGTAAACATACAACAACTACAAACGACCGTAGGTGGAAGTATGTAGATGCGTGGATTTATTAAAATTATTCCGTGACTGCCGTAAATAAAGGCGTTACATGTTTGAACTGTTTATTAATTTATGGCGTGGCGCCATCTCTGCGCTGATGAATTTTTAATACGGGAAACGCGAAATTTCATCCCGCCACGGAACATTAGTCTCGCAGCCGTAGTACGCGTGTTTTAATGCCACTATTATTTTATATTTAACAAGCAGGACGAAACAACGTAAATCATCAGTCGCTCACCCTCTCTGCCTTTCCCACTTTTTTTTCTGTTAAAGGTTTTGCAATTTTGTTGTTGTTCTAGTTGTTAACATACTGCGGTTTGTATTATTTCTGTTTGGGAGAAACCAGTAAATTGTAAAATAGACTAAAAGCATAAATTTCGTAATGATATTTCGTACTTAAAAAGCATTTTGAGGCGACGAATTTAAATATGCGAAGCTCCGGTAAAAGTTACCACAGCAATTTACAGGCGAAAGCAAACTTTTTATCCGTGGCTATTTTCAATTAGAATTTGTTTTGTTTAAATAAGATTAAAATAAAATTATGTTATGTTAGTGATTAAGTGAGTTTAGTTTTTGTTATTATTTAGTAATTAATTTACAAGTAAAACATACTGTGTATTTAGTTACCTTCAATTAAAATTTGGATTATTTTGAGTACGCTTTTCGTTTGGTTAAGTTAGAAATTATGTTATGATTAATGATTAATTTATAAAAAAAAAATATAATAACATGTATGCATGTTTTAAGTAATTTTTTGTTTTAATAGTATAATAGGATTGTATGAATTTATAACAATTGAAGTTGTTGGAAATTTTTATTACGGTCGAATCCAAATGAACATTAAACTAAAACGAAGCCGCCGTTGATGTGAAACCATCCACATTGCTTTTGGGTTTTCCTGTTCCCGAATCATAATCTGAAAGCGGATTAAATAAAATATATTAATATCATAAATGTATATTAAAGTTCGTATCGAGGTTAATGCGAGAAGAAGTTAACGACAATTTTATTACTCTTTTTCGTCGTCGTGCCTTCCTTCATCTAACCCTTCCACTATTAACCTCACCTATTTACTTCATTCTTCCTCCTTCGCACGTCAAACGTAATTTTATTAATTTCCGAGACGTGCACTTTTTACTCTTTTTCCAACCCAATTTCTTTCCCTACATCGGTATTGTTCGATTGAAATGGAATGGTAAGGTTACGGTTTTCGTGTGTTTCTCTTTTCCTCTCTTTTATCCTGTGTATATGAGAGTCGTCTCTTTCTCTATGGCGCAGAGGTCGAGAAATGAAAATAAAAATCAACAGTGGAAGAGAAGCCGAAGTTGTTTTCTCTCTGCGGAGGGGCGACTTTTACAAGAAGTTATGTAACATTTTGTGCGTCCCCTGGGAAGGATATAATAAAGACGTGACGGGAAAATAGTGCCGGGTCGGTTATGCGGAGGAGGGACGGGATCGGGATGACACCCACCTTCCAATTCCCCATGCCGCCTCACCCCAATATCCCTTTTAAACCCGTGTGTCTCTCTTCATCTCGTAACCGCAAGTTCGTATAGAATCTTTCCGCAAAAAAATCTCAATCCGGCCGTTACGTCAAACTAGTTGTTGTTTACACTTCAAATAATTTTTTGATACAGTACGACATCTATCGATGGAATTTTTACAAATGCATCTTTTTTATGAAAATTTGAATTTTTTTCATACATTTTTTTCTTATGTCTGAGGCCTCACTCATTATTTATGCTCGGGATGCATATTGTGTAAAATAAGTAGAATAATATGTTTCCTTCGCAAGGATCTTTGGTGACAATCAACAGACATTAGGAAGTGATTATAAGTGATTTGCTTTTTGGGAGCTTTGGGGATTGGGGATGGTACGAGTGGAGGATGCATGTTCTGAAGTTTGTCAGATGCACGGAGGACGGTGGGTCGGGTATCAATTTAGATAAAAGTGGGAGCGTTCATTATTCCACGGAAGAACGGAAGTAAATTAGATTGCCGTTGGTGCCAGTCAAGTTGAATTAGAGGCCGGAACTTCCGATGGTTTTCTCCGGGATTACGCCGTGTGCATTTCCAGCAAATTAGTTTGCGTCTGAAAACCTCACACCTCGCCGGAGACCACCACCGCTGCCATCCCATATCGGAATATGTCCAAAGAAAAAGAACGCCATCTATTATTGGACTAAATGCAATTTCTGCATCTCCTTCAGTTCATATTGAAAATAAAAACATAATAGTAAATATCTACATGAAATCATCACTTGAAATTTAAATATGTTGATTTAAAATTATTTAAGTTGGTAGACGCTATATCTGTCAGTTTATTATCAACGTCAAGAGAATCCATTTAAAAACTTGTAATAGATTACTTAAGTTGATATTACTGATCGAAATCAATATACGAATACTAATAACATACAATAACTAAAGTTGGCAGGTTTGAATCTCATCAATAATAAAATCCATTTTTTGGTCGACAAACATCGAAAGGGTGACAGAAATAGAGCCGTGGAGAATTAACAATATACTTTATATGCCACGTGGCATTTTATATTTTATATATTACGTGAAAATTAAAGTTTTTTTCATGCAAATGAAAAAACTTTGATGGATAGATATTTATGCGACGTTATATTGTTTTCCTGTCTCATCTTCTTATTACTTTAAGGTCGCATCTTGTGAGTACACAAGACATTTAAGAAAAAAATAAGACTTGTAGTCATGAGTGCGAAAAAAACAGATCTATTCCATTGGAATTATTTCGGGTTTAAAAGGGGGGGTTGAAATAAGAAGAAAAAACGTTTGCGCGTATCGTGAAAACGGTGTAATCTACATTGATAATATTTTGTAAAGCGGATCGAGCGGGCTAAACCACTTGACAAATAGACGGCGTCGGGATTTGCGCCCGCAAGGGGCGAGAGCGTCGCGACGCCGAAAATAATATGTATGTGGATAGAGAGAGACGAAGGAGGGTTCTAGCGTGGAAATCGAGATTTGTTTATGTTGGAGTGTGAAAGAAAGACAGAGAGATTGGCGAGGGGTGAGAAAAAGAGCGATGAGGATAATCCGGATTAAAAATGAGATACGTGCTAGGTACCCGTGCTAATCCTCGTGCTCCAAAGCCGGCAAAATATGGGTTTACATGCATCAATTATTGTCATCGTGACCGAAATAGTCATCCTTTCAACTGCGCTGTTTCGTGTGCTTAATTCTGTTGTTTTTTTTTTCAGCTGTCACCGCCGTCAGTTGGGAGGAATGGTGGACCTACGACGGCATCTCCGGTAAGCAAACGATAATTATTAATAATATTTATGCATTTTCACAACAATTTTAAGTAATTGTCCTGCTTTCTGAAGCAACACGAACAATTCTATCTATTACTAATAATTACAACTATTTGTAGATCTCACTGTTTTTAAATAAATTCGTTACAATAACGGGAACTCTGGTAATACGAATATCAAGTTTTCACGCGAGAGGCTTTTAACGTAATTTATAATGTACAATTTCAATGATGATGATCATTAGTAAAACATTTTTAAATGTAGTTTCATTATTTATTACTCATATGTTTATAAGTATGTTCTTATTTTATACATCAGGTCCTTGATCCGCTCACACATATATTTTAAACATTGTAAGCGGTAAAAAATGTTGGATTTAAGTGGCGGCATTTTAAAGACTTGCATCGTACTGATAAAATCTACCATACGGCTCTGATTGTTAGTGTTTCCTACAAAAAGTAATTACATATTTAGTTAACAGATGTCCTCTTCTCTTTCATAGTATAGAGCTTATTGTATGATATTAGGGTATTATTAAGTGAATAGTACTTTTGATATTGTAGAATATTTTAGTAATACAGGTGATTACACATAATTCAGATTAATCGCCTGGCCCAATTATCCAAAGATCCACAAATGCTACAGGATTATTGTTTTTGTAATCCGGTGCCACGGAAATTCACACAGGATTACTGTCCCAATTAAACGGAATATTGTCCCGAAAAAGCGGAGTATTTTTTGGTTATTTCTTCGGGTTTGTTGTCGTTCTTTAGGGATTGTCGATAATAAGCGACAATTAAGTGGAATAGACAGTATTTATTTTTGTAAAATTTGCATTTTACTAATCAGAAACTTTTATATAAGTTCTATATATTGAGCCGTCTAATTGCAGCTTTGATTGCATAATTTATTCTGTTAATTTAATATCTGACATTGACAATAGATGTCCTTCAATTAGTTTTAATTATAAATTCTGTTTTGCAGAGGTTATTTGGTGTTATTTATGGAAATGTACATTGTCTATTTATCTGGAATTATATTAAATGTATTTTGTGTAATATGAAATTAGAATAAATTAGATTATCTTATTTAAAAAATATTACATAAAAATATAAGAAAGATAAAAACTATTTAATTATTGAATAGAGAATAATCGAATGCGATAGAGGGCGTTAAAAAATGCAAAAGAAAATTGTGATTGCTTCGCTCAATAAGTAATGAAGGAAAAGTTGGATGTGAGCGTGACCGAGCTCAAGGAACAAAGTAATTTCAGTGATAAAAATTAAAAATTAATATGTTTATGCGTCGCGACGCCAATAAATCAATATAAACGCAAGAGAAGTAAGAACGGAAAACTGGAAGAACAAAGAAAACGTTTTCTTTTTTCTTTTCGTCCTTCGTCATCGGATATATCTATATGAATTGAGGGGGAGAAATATATATATATATATATAAGTCGTGGACAGTTGGACAAGTTATATGGAGTTTCGATGTCACATTAAGGAATGAAGGAACGACGGTGGCCGTCGCGACGCCCTCCCTCGAATCCGTACCCTGCAAAATTGTTCGATGCCAAAACTACTGGAAAAATCTCACGAGCTTTAAAAAACTTTTTAATGTAACTTATACACTTATACTTTTGCGGAACGAAATCCGACTCGATTTGGTGACAACGTCAGAAAAAAAGAAAAAAATAACACAGTCCAAAACGAGTAAAAAGAATATAAATGTGAATAGAGAAATTCCGACAATCAAGTTCCCGAAAACTTATTCATAATAAACCTTAACAAAAAGAAATAATGTAAAATACAATTAGTTTATTAATTGTTGTTATTTATTATTGTAAACAATTTAAATCGAATATAAAAAGTATTAACTTCGAAAAGATACAATCAAAATGATTATTAAATTTTTGCATTTCATCTAATATAATATACTATGTGAAAATAAATTTTAGGTTATATTAAATTAGGTTAAACTAGTAAAAATATTAATGTAACATTTATGTTATTTGTGCATTCTTTCTATAACTAGTTGTTCGGGGAAAATTTCAAATATTATTTCATTTTTCATTATTTGTTTTATTTACTTTTTTTCGTGACACACACTGTGACACGTGTCTAATGAAAATCAACTCAATATACATTGATTTATTGTCTCGCGCCTAGCCGTCGCTCGTTTGTTTTATTTTGTTTTGTTGTTTCACAGATTTATTATTCTTTTTTTTTTGTCATTGTTTCCATCGCCATATCTGATGTTGCTGTATGTTTTATGCTTTTGTGGATCAATGCACGTTACGCTACAATAGTTTGGAATGTTTTCTTTCTTTTTTTATTGAACTATGCAATATGTTGAATTTTGTATTCATTTTATATATTCTTCTAATATAATAAAAATAAACTTTATTTATAACAATATAGTGGAACTAGAATATTCATCAGTAATCTGAGAGGAAGATGAACATTAAAAAGGACGAATATCAAATGAATTTTTCCCACAAAAATTAACACAGTGGTGTGAGGCTGAACCGACCACGAATATTGACTTTTCAAACAAAAATATCAAACAAAACTTTTAAAGAAAAATAGGATGATATTTAGAAGATAAATATTAATTGATAAAACCAAAATACACAAACATGCTTTTGTTTTAGCCGAGCTAAATAAATCATTAGCCTGTTACACGTAATCCTAAAGTCCTAAATCGAATTTGAGTGTAGGCAAATTCCAATGGTCATGAAATATTCACGATTAATCAATCCGCATATTTTTAAATTTCGCGCCGATTAGAGCAACTCTCGACATTCATCCCCGCTAATTGAATTCTATTAATGCATCCATAAATATTCAATGAGAAGCCGTTGTGGTTTGTGCAAAAATCGGACCGATCTTGAACAATTAATTCGCAAAATCGAGCCTAATTGAAACGGATTAATTATTAATTATGATAATTGCTAGCCACGTGTGCAACGTGTCCACTCGATCTAGGTGGAGCGTTCCAATTGTGCCAACTTTTAATAATATAATTACCATTAAAATGAATTGGTTCTGCAGGGTTGGCAGCATTTTTGCAGCCCTTCAGCTGCAGCCCAATTAACTGTAATTACAATTGGACCTACCCTATCTCTCTCACACACACATTCACCCGGCTTTAATGTTGTTACGCGGATCATGGACTCGCTCTCTCTCTATATTTTTTGTTCGCATTTTTTTTTTAAATTTATTTACTCTTTTCGCTGCTGTCCGGTCCATATAATTATTTTCACTTTCGCCATTACAGTTCTCTATTAATTGTCATAACCGGGCGGATTAAGCTCATACTTTACGCGCCGGCATTTTTTTTTGTTCAACTCAACCAATTAAACGTTTAACTGTTATTATGTTCCATTCAGCGAAAATAATTTCGGTTAATAAACCGCACTCCACGGCAATTCGTCCTTTATTTTGCTTTTCAAAATGATGCGGTGCAAATCAAGAGGAAAAAAAGAACCGACGTTGGTATTCTTTTAAACCGCAAAGACGAAGTTCTAATCCCGACTACTTTACGTTGGTATCGAAGTTTCGACGTAGCAAAACTTCTTAATTGAGTCCAATCTCGCTTCAAATCCAATTAAAAGAATCTGATAAAATATATACCAACCAATTAATATCTGCAGCGACGCAGTCAATTGTTGATGTTTTATGATGTGGTCACAAGATGGCGTCATTTGTTTTTTGGTTTGAAGGTTGAAGGAGGTCAAATTTGGCAATGCGCTTTCGATAAATAAAATTATATATAAAAATTATAATTTGTAGATGGTCCGTTTATGTGTATTAATAGGTTGGGTTTTGTTTAAACCATTTGGGGATTTCGAAGCGACAAAGCAGTTGAATTAATATGGATTTGGGTTTCGGGCGTAAAGTTTTAATGAGCGCACATTTAATTCGAATTAGAAGCGTTATTGGCATTAATCTAATTATATTCGGGTCCGAAAATGCGTCTCAAGTAAACTAAATATAGTAAATTTATTGCATTAGTTACTTGCAATTAGCGATCCGCACGACATTGTTTTGGAGAGGGGTGGCGACAGAGGCGTGCGCCTGTGCGTTTGTTTATTATAATGCATGGCTGCGGTGCGGGTAGCTAACATATATCTTGTCACCCCCTTCTCTTAATTCGTCCTCCGACCGCCGATGCCAACGTAGCCTCCTCCTCCACCTCCTGTTCGTTCGCCGCCCTCGATGTCGGATAACAAAGCCATTACCCGTTTAGATACCTGAGGTTCACAAAGCTGTCATCGCCATCCGCGATACTCAATAGATACACCCGCATTCTGTCTCTAATTGAATTAACGAACAAAGTAATTGTTAATTAAGCCCAATCGATCATTATTATAAAACCGTTTAAACGCCAATTACAGCTGCCGCTTAGACCCGATAGATAACGGCTCTGTTCGGCCCTTCTATCTAATTGAGAAATGTGCGCTTTTTCATCTTGAGATTTACTAGGGGACCATAATTGGAAAAACACATTTCCAATTTCCTCTATTAAATCAGTTGACTTCAAACTATCAAAACTATATGTTAAAAGAGATAGTCGAACGTTTTATTATTGCCATATTGCATATGGTGATAGTTGTTAAGGACTTCATTTTTATAATGACAGAACGCTGGCGTCACCAAAGACGCTTTATGGTAGCAACTGGCATTGTTATTTAATTATTTCCGAAAATGCATACTTAACTACTAACTACTACGTCAAATAAATAAAATAAAAGTCATTTTAACCCGTACTACGTATGTGTCAAAATGACCCGATTATAAAAAAATAAAAATAGAACAATGTATTCATTTTTACAACAAAAACAGATTATTTTTTTTATTTAATAAATTTAACACCATTTAAAACTGATTGTATTGCTCAAAATAATCTGGACATATTTTTGACTATGTAGAACCAATTGTTTTTTGCATATGTCACAAAACGTTGCTGTTTTCTTGTCGCATACTGTATATGAG